ATTTTCAAACTGTAGTTGGTCATCATTTGCTGTTACTTAAGACATACTGATTTCCCCTACATTAATAAAACCATTGTTAATAATAAAAAGTATCAGTATCGATATCTCTAGCCCTTTTTAAACAGGAATTGTGCAAATTTGCAGGAAAGCCCAATCAGTCTTTTTTCAGCATTGGCAGTATAAAAACAAAATCGGGGAGTGCAGCAAAATGCCACCTACCTACTTTTGTTTATACAGAATGTGCCTTTTTCGGGGCAATGGGGGGCGTGAGCAAGTAACAAAACGTGTAGCTCAGCGTGTGACGTAAACAGTGACGTGGGAGGGAAGCCGCGGCTGGTCAGTCCTTCGGCGATTCTCTCGTAAGTCGGCCCGTTCTTCACCGTCCCCGTCATCTGACGGTTAATGGCCTCTTCGTTTGCGAGGACAAGGAGGGCGCTCAATTCCTTGTCTCCCCAGTTGCTCATCTTTACAGTGTCTGTCAGGTTTGTGTTTCCCTCTTGCTACTAGCTGCTCGCTAATTCCTGCTATCAGCTGTTTCCTGTTTATCCACCGCCAGTGGCTCGCACGTGCGGCGTCATCAACAGCTCCTCCCACAAGTCATCATCAGCCCCTCGCGTGGCAGAAGGCCGCCTCAGTCTGTTTAAACTAAAAAGGTTCCACCAATATGTCTACCCTACGAGGCGGAAAATTGGGCACCTCGGATCAACTCGCCAATCCGGCTCTGTGTGTCTAAACGCTCGCAGCTTGTTGGCCACACGGCCCAACATTCGCCGAAAATCTGGCAGTGTAAAAGGGGCTAGTGATTCTGGTCCTGTGTTACTCGATATTAGATAGAAACCAAATTTTGACATATCACCCACCCCTATTAAATGGGGTGCATGTTATGAAGATGCACTTATGTGTCCACCAGTCAGGAAGCTTGAACCAATCCAAGAACAGATTTAGAGAACAATACAGTGCTCTGCGGAGGTGGTCCTCCACCAGAGTCCAAGTTTGAGCCAAGAAACACTGAGCTAGCAGCCCTGAGTGGCATTAAAGGTTTGAAACTTTAACAATACAAACATAAGAAACCCTGCGTGTTTCACGTCTCAGAAAATTTGTATTAAAAAAAGAACAGTAAAGAGTTGAGCTTTGTCTGGACGGTGATGGCTTCCTCCTGTGTGTGAGACAGATTGAAGGATGGACAGAGAGGAGGAACAGGAGGAAGAGGAGGACACACTGACAGGATGTTCTGGTGAGTTTGGACAGTACTGCAGATTGGAGCAGACACTTACAGACTGGTCCAAAACAATGTCCGGCATATGGCCTGTCTCAGTGGGACGTTCAGTCCTCAACCACAACGCCCCCTGAAATATTTGGTTTTCCCCTCGTCCTACACACACACACACACACACACACACACACTAACACACACACACACACACACACACACACACACACACTGATGAGCTCTCCATCCTCTAGGAAGGAGACGATAGAGAAAAGGATGATGATTTTTATGGCAGGCAAATGAAGGAGAGCCTCAATGTCTCTCTCTCTGGACCCCAGTGACTGTGTGGGTGTGAATCAGCACAACAGGGTTGAACAGTGTGTTGAAACAGTTAATTCCTGGACATAACTTCATGTAAATCACCGTCTGTCTCCCAAAGCCTCGACTTGCCAAAACACAGAGTCATGGCGGTCGACACCAGTGAATTAGATCAACATTACATCTTCAGCTCGAGGGACAAAATCTTGTCACGGAAACACTGAATCAGAATCTCAATGGAGCTGCTGTCATTATTTAACAGGGTGTTAACTGCAAATAAAAGTATATTTAGTAAAAAAGGTCATGCACGTACTTTGAAGTGGGGTTTGCAGTTAATTTATCTTAAGTGGTTTTGGTCATTTTATAGCAATAAACAGGATAAAGAGGCATCAGTTGCTCTCTCTCAGCCTCTGTAAGACTTTGTAAAGGAGGAAGCAGCCGTCAATAATGAATGAATTGAAAATATATCACAGCATCAATGTCATTTTATATAATATATGTCATATAATTTCTGTATTTATAGAAAAGTCTGCAGACAGACTGGGCTGAGAGGATAAAACCGTCTTAACTTATCTGGCTGTTCAAAGTCAGACAGTCAACATTTCCTTCTATGTTTCCCTTTAGAAGAGGGGAGTTAAAATTAAACTCTGACGCCATCTAGTGGTGTCTATCTGTTACATGTGTTCCCACATACTGAACAATATTCAAAAATACTGTGTAATGAAAGGTATGACAAATGTAAAGTAAGGCAAAAACATAAAATATAACCCATTACAGGGATGTCAAATTAATGATTAATTGTCATTACCTAAAAGAGAGTCTGTTTAGGGAGTAAAACTTAAAAATAAAAGTGTCCTATAAAATCTACTAATGGACCTGTTTTTCTCAACTTTTCACCATCTCCATCGTCTCCTCTCCTTCTTTTGCATCTGTCCCATCATTTCATGTCTCAGAGTCCTGTCCCATCCTCGGTGCCCTCTCCTCAGACTGCAGGACACCACCTGTGCTCCACTGTTGGGGTCAGAAGTTCAGGTGAAAACCAACCCTCCCACGGGAAGTGTCCAGAAAAGCGAGGGCTGCTATTTAAAGACTCAGCGATAATGAGGAGGCACGGGTGGAATCTTGGAGCCATGTTCTCTTTCATCGTAAACACTCACACCATAAACCCTGTGCACTCTCACACACAAACACACACAACACACACACACACACCTCTCACCAGCCATAATAAATGCACCCAGCTGTAACACCACCAGTTAATCCGGCTTTAGAGACGTAAAAACTAAGACACGTCTGTGTGCAACAAATTCTGCTGTTGCAGTAAGAGGTGATTTTAATGGGGCATGTTGGTATCTTTTACTGGCCCACCAGAGGGTCCAGTCTGGCCCACTGGATGACATTGCACTCCTAATGTTGATGGACTTGTGAAGGCTGAGGTGGAATTTATACTTCTGCGGTGAATCAACGCCGTAGTACATGGAACCTACGTCGTAGCCTGACGTGCACCTCCCCAGAAATGTAACTCCACAGTGTCACAGTGACGCAGACCTCCTGTCTGTCTCTGTGAGCTGAAACCATTTCCCTCAGTGGAAACAAAGCTTTGATTTACTTTAATTTCACAGATAAGAAACAATAAATTGTGAAGACAATAAAGCCTCCACTAAAATAGCATTTTAAGTCCTGTGTGTGATTTATCCTGGCTTCATATGAGCAGAGGAAATCTCTGCTAGCTGCTAGGCTAATTTATACAATGTAAAATGCCATAGGCTTGTGCTAATAACGTTAGCATATTGTATTTGTTTGGAAAATGTGTCCAGATAAAGCCAAGTGTTTGTCTGTGAATACCATACCATACCAATTTATTTATAAGTTATTATGCAATGGTTTTATTGGTCTTGCCCACTTGAGAAAAAAATTGGTCTTTACGTAGCCCATGAACTAAAACGCATCTGACATCTCTGCTTTAAGGTGTTCTTGAGATATCACATTCACAAGAATGTTTCCATGAGTTATCAGGCACTTTTAATAACAATCTGAGTCTGTCAGCAACAAAAACAAGAATTTTTAATGGGCTACAACTAATGGTGCACAGTTTGTGCCACTTTGTGATGGTTTGACAAGCTGTCGCAGTAAACATGGAGCCCACACTGTCACTAACTGCACTCCCTGAAGAAATATGATCATATTTTTGGAGAAATGAAATAGTGATGTCAGAGAGCAGCAGACAGAGCAGCAGACAGAGGGGTCTACAGTCTGTGTTTGAAGGATATATCCAGGATGTCAAACTGACTCAGCAGCAACAACAGGTTAAAAAGACAAAGACAGTTAGAAGCTAAAGCCGAACTATAGGCTACAGATCACAGTGTAAAAGTGAACCACCACATCACTGCTGATCGCCACACAAGACAATGAATATAAAGGGAAAGTTTCCCTGCTTCCCTTCACTGGTTCTTGTACAGCAGGGTCGTTCTTTTTTTCACTGTTATAATCATTATTAAGCAAAAGCAGCATGTGTATGCATTCAGTAGGCTATATCTTCAGTAGCTAGCTAGCTAACCCTACACTTTTCAGGGTCTGATTTTGGTTTTGGAACAGGGAAGAAACGTATATCTGTTTCCAACCTCTCCAGGTAACGAGTATCATTAATACACGACATGCCCCAGGCACAACATTTAGCTCCAAATCCACAAAACCATTAAGTCCTGTTCCCACCGAGCAGTCCGGTTCAGTTCAGTTCGGTACGCTTTTTTCCGTTTCCGTACCACGTCTGAAGGGTTACTGTTGGTTCCAAACGTACGATACTGAAAGTGTTTGATGGAAATTATTGCATTAGTCAATGGAGCACAGCTATGTTTTTGTTGGACCCTGGTCTGAGCTGGCTCGATGTTACGTTACGATTGGCCAGTCTGCGTCCGGGGGCGGGACTTAGCGAAGGGTCAATTGCCCATAGGGATTGGCCTCTTTTGTCGTCGTGGCTGCAGCAGTCTCTCTCAACACTGGACCAGTTTTAAATAAAGTTGTCTCCATTCGTCGCTTAGACACAAAAACTTGGCAAAAAAGGGCCCAGGTTAAAAAGTACCAGTTTCCATTTAATTATTCAACTGAAGCTTCTAAGATGGTTTCATATTCAGCTTAACCTGAAATAACTTGATTCACAAAGATGCAACTTTCCTGATAATAAATACATGTCACCTTTTGCAGAGGTTTTCAGGTCCCTTAACATCTTCCAATGAACATGACATGACACAAACTGAACATATGACGACCAGGTGTTTAGTTTAATTCTTCGAGGTCCATTTTGGCTAAATCCCTTTTGTCTCTCGGGTGGAAACAGCCTGCAGAGGCTCCTCTTTCTCCCGACCCAGTGTTTATTAATAAACCTAAACAGAGTTGAGGTAGTCATGGTCACACATAGCAGCACACTGCCTGAGAGAGAGAAAGGAGGCTGGGTCAACTGTCTTTACACCCCCCTCCTGTCTAAGTTCATCTGCACACACTGCTCCTGCTCACTCTCTGCAGCTCACTTTGCTTTGTCACATGAAACTTAACTCATGTCTAATGGATTCATCCTGAGGATACTGCAGAGGAGCAGAGGAGCAAGCTTTCACAGAGAAGTGAGTACATTTATGTTTCATGTTTCCATATTTGTGTTGATCAACTGAGTGAAAGAAAATAAAAAATTCAACCATTCATTCTGCTCCAACTTTCAAATAACGTGCTGAACTAATTTAGCAGTTAAAAAAGCAAAACGCGCCTCACATGAAACTTATTTTATGTTTAATATAAGATGAAAAGTGAGTGTTCAGACAGCCGAGCGTATATAGGCCAGTGCCGTCTTTGAGTGGTGGAGGTCTGAAGGAATTTGGCTTTTGCCCACGCCTGTCCTGCAGCGAGACAGCTGGTGACTGTCATGTCTTCCCCAGGGCTTTATTCATCCATGCATGGCACAACACTGCAGCCCTGGAGTTTTACTGCTCATGTACCGCACTTGTGATCTGACCTTGGAACTGCTGCGTCTTGAAATTTGCTCTCCAAAGTTTTGGCGGGGAAACGGCAGCTATTGGTTGAATGACACATTTGTCTCCCATGGCCTTTCTACATTACTAATCTCCACTGATGACACTATTAGGTCAATTTGATCAATTTACCCTCTCGGAGTCTCTGGGCAGTCTTGGCAAACACCTCAGAGGGTGAAATTACAGCTACATTATTCAGCAGGGGAGAGTGCAGATGCCCATCCATCGGCACGGTGACATGTTATAATAATCTGCTCCATAATGTAATCTGTGTAATGCCACTTGTTGGAGCTTCAGACGAAAGACGTCTGTACGTTTGTGTCTGTATCGGTGGTGTTGGTTGTTGTTTGAGGTGTGTCTCTGGTCACTGCCAAGAGGACAGTAGGTCCCTGGCCCATCGAGCCTCACAGGACAGCTGCTGGTACCATACCCTCTGCTGAACTGCCCCCATTGCCCCGCTCTACATGTCTGCATGTGTTAATGACATCAGCATAACTCAACCAGACGTCTGGCCAAAATATGAACTCTGCTGACATGTCGCCAATGCAGGTCAGGGCTAGGGATGGGCATCATTAAGATTTTAACAATACTACTACCCTTACAAACACTGCTTTTTGTTCAGGGTTAAGGGAAAAAATTTAGCGCATTAACCCTTTGAAACCTGAGCAAACTGGCTGTATTTTTTTTTTGTTCGTTTTTTTTTTTCTTTTTAAACATGGGAAAAAGGCAATGAGCAATGAAAGAGGAAATGACCCAAAAAAATTAGCAAGAAATCTGTAGAAAAGAGAAAATTAAAAACAGTAAAATAAGAAAAAAGGGTCAAAGGGTGCAGATGACCCCGGCCCATGGCCAAGGGGTCTTACTGACTTAAATCACTGATGGTACAAGTTAATGTTACAGCTGATGTACATGTAGTTTTATGATTACAACATATTTCCACGTGCCATTAGATGCTCCCACCTCACAAGTACCGTGAAATGATGCCGTTCACCTGACGGAGGGGGTCGGGTGTGCGATGAGCAAACTCCCAAGTGCCGTTGATGTAAACATGTGAGGCGGACTATAGCCTGAGCAGCTAGGTCAGAATGCCTCGCCAAAAATCAGGAGCTTCTAAAAGAAATCCAGGGTAAAGAAAGAACAAGACAATAAAAGGAGGAGAGAGGCAAAAAAACCCAAAATAAAACGTGAAGAAGCAACATGTATGACAGACAAAGCTGATAGAAGAAGTGAGCGAGTTAGTAAGAAAACCTGCTCTGTCGGGTTCGGATTTAAAGCCACAGTGAAGACAGATATCATATTAAACTACAGGACCTAAGGCATCTATTGATACCAGCCATGTTGTGATATCTTATCAGAAAGGGGGGCAACTGGTGCTCCAAATTTAGGCTACATTTTGGCGAGGGGGGGAAAAGGAACATTGCATTTGTTCAAAATGTTGTATTTAGATATTTCTGCACACTGGGGTCCCTGAACTGTCTTCGAGATCTGCACACAATTTAAACAACATTTGATTATAGTTGCCTTAAGATTTAATTAATACCCATGTACGCTCCTGATTTGATCTTGTGATTTAATACCCTGCAGTAATTTCTTCAATCAATGTTTGATTTTACTTCTCTCTAATCAGTCATTGGAGGGGATTTTTTCAGCCCCTGGGCCACATGTGACTACCTCTGATTTTCAGAGTAAGAAAATTAGGTCTTAACACACAGTAGAGACAAAATACATGGGAATTATAATTGGATCATATACGCAGGAAGTATAAAATTTTCCATAGTGATATGTACAGTAACCCCTCCCCTTTGACGGGTGTGGATGAGGCGCCAACTTTTTAAAATGTTGTCCCTCCGCCAATATTTCCTAACGGCTGCCCTGAGTGTCTGCATCAGCTCTTGTGAAGTATAACCATACGTCACAGCGTTGTGCTCTCTCTGCTGTTGTCACTGAGAGCAGGGCCTCTGTGTGTGTGTGTGTGTGTGTGTGTGTGTGACACAGAGCTGGCCCCGCCCCTCGCACATACAGCAGGCTGTGAGGCTCCGACGCACAGAGAGCTCTCCTCTGGATTGAATGGCAAAAATGCATCAGTGACGAATGTCTTAATCTTATTGCAAATTAGAAACGGAGTAGGGGAGATATATCTTCTGAATTTCTCCGTTAACGTTGGAGCTTATCAATACTGCAGTGTTTCATAATTCAGCCCCTGGGCCTGTTTAATACCAGGTTTCAGTACCCATCCCTAGTCGGGCGTATTATTTGTTACCACAACACTCCAGCTATCACGCTCAATAAGCTATCTAACATATCTGTGTGCTTCTGTCCAGGGATGAGAGTTCTGTGAAAGAGACTTTCACAACACAAGTGTCTACAAGAATCAGTCTGAACCAATGGACGACGATAACGTTTTATCTTCTGGGTTTGAGCCTCTCTTCATTAAAGAGGAGGTCGCAGATCCGGACAGTACCCTGATGGAGCAAAGCGAGTGTAACACCACACAGTCTGGGTTAGCCTTCACAGCAACAGCACTGAACCAATCAGCTTTAATCAGGCCATACTTACAGGAGATGGATGAGTTACTGAAAAGCTGCGAGGAGCTCACTGGGATCCAGTTTGGCTCTCACTTCTCAGACAGTTACAAGGAAACAAGTCTGACTGAATCAACTTACAGCCACATCAAGAAGGAAGACACAATGGAGAGTGATAGAGAGACAAGTGTTTCTCCCCATCTTTCCACAAGCTACATCGACACACACATGGACAGGGCTGGAACGGAAGACCAGCCGGCACAAGGTCGGTCGCAAGGCTTGGGCACCATCATCAACAGGTGTGGAGCGACCACAGAAGCTTCACGCCAAAGAGACATGCCGCTGACCTCAGCAGGAAGCAAACTGAGTGACACCATGGTGGAGTACGAGGGTCAGCTGTTGGGGATGTTGGCCATGCTGGAGAGCTGCATGGAAGAGACTGGGATGGACTTTGAGCCACAGGGATGGGCGACAGATGAGAGCCAAGAGTACGTACACATCAGTAAGAATCCTCAGCTTCACCGGGGGACGACGCTGGTGCCCATTCAGCAAGTACAGCCAAGGAAGTTGGAGACCCAGATGATGCAATCAGAGTCCTGGGCTGGTCAGCATCCAGAAGATGAAGTTTCCAAGGAAAGCAGAAATGAGGCAATGGAGAGCTCAGCAGCAAATGAAAGCCAGCAGAGTTCTGTGCTTAGCCGTGACAACATGGGCGGCTGCTCAATGGAAACACTGGAATGGAAAGAGCAGGTGGTTCTTGGTCCTCAGCTCAGGTCTTCATTAGACAGTACAGGAAATGATCCGATGTACTGTGAGGTGACAAAGGCAGGATATATGTCTACTAACGAAGACACATGCATGAAGGGAGACGTAACTGAAGTAGATGACGCTGAATCACCGGCTGAGGAGAGACAGGAGCTCGAGATGGACACCATTAATTCGGGATCCGGCATAAACGAACTCAGTGCCCTGGGGTGTCAGATGGAGAAGTGCATTGAGGAGGTACAGCGGTTAGAGAAGAGGAGGAGGGAGCTGCTGACGGAGGTGCTGGAGTTAAGAGGAGATAAAAACAGAGAGGAGGCAGAGGGGAGCAATGAGGAGGAGACGGAGGAGCAAATTGAAAGCAAGGCGGCAGAGCTGATGAATGCGCTGAAGAGGGAGGAGGAGGTGAGGAGAGAGGAGAGGAAGAAAGAGATTCAGAGCCTCAGGGAGGAGAGGGCAGAGGAGGAGAGGACGCTGTGGAGGGTGAACCTGGAGAGACAGGGGCTGTATGAGGAGCTGAGGAAGCTGAAGAGGAGGCTGTTTGGGATGGCGAGGGACTGCGCTCACAACCAGGCCGCCCTGAACACCCAGCGCCGGGAGGTGGAGCTGCTGAAGAGAGAAGAGGTAAGAAACCCAACTCAAGAATCTGTCCACCTGATTTCAGAGGAAACCACGACATAAAAACCTCTCTCTCTTCCAGGAGAAGCTGCAGTCGCTGGTGCTCCAGCTGACGGAGGAGGGCTCCCAGCTCAGGGCGGCTCAAACACAACAGCTCTTAGAGCTTCAGGCACAGCTTCATGCCCAGAGCTCCAGTCAGACGTCCAACACCCAGGAGGAGCTGACCGAGTACAGGAGGCACTCTTGTGGGGACATCCAGCAGTACCTGCAGGGGGGGCTGAAGGCCCTGGAGGAGAGGTGCTGTCACGGTCTAAAAATCATGTTTTTACAAGTTTTTATTTGCTAATGCTGTGTGTGATTAAAGTGTAAACTGTTGCCATGGCCAGGTATGAACCCATTTTGCTGACACTGCTGAAGAGAAGGGAGACAACAGCCGGAGCGCTGGCAAAAGCTAAAGAGCAAGCCCAGGAGCTGAAGGCCCAGCTGAGGCCCCTGAAGGAGGAGATCCAGAAGCTGATTCTCCAGAGGGCTTGTTTGGAGGAGAAACTCAAATTGATTCACATACAGAGGAGAGAGGATGCGGGGCAGTACAAGGTAAGCAAGACGGCAAGTATGGGGCGGGGGGACATAAGATGAAGGTAGAGCCAGAAGGTCCTTAGTCTGAGTTTCCACCAGCAGTGACCCTTCAGACATGGTACCTAGACCCTCGGTGTGTTCAGACAGTCCTCTTAAATGTGGGCGGGGTTGTTGTCACTCACTGCTCCGTCCAGCACTCGCTGTATTTCCTCATCAGCGGTGACACAGATGGAAGTCTGCACCTGGTTTATCGTCCACAGAACGAGGCTGCACGCCCACATTTTCACAACAAAATAGAACAGGCTGCAGTGAGAGTCTCTCTCCATGGGATATTTAAAAATAGCAGCTTTGTGCATTTAGTCCTTCTCAGGCAAGCTCAGGGGTTTAGTGTTGCTGTAGCCCACAGGAAGTGAGGATTAGAATATATGACCTTCACATAATCCGCTCCAAATTCATCTATATTTTTAAAGTCATTACTAAAAGTGTGTGTCATATAAAAACTAAAGTGATGGTCAAAGTTGTCACAGTGAAATTTAAGGTGTGCTGATGGATTCACGTCATCAACTCATGCATTGAGTAACATTACAAGTTAACGTTCCACCTTAAAAGCTCCTGAACAGAACTGTTCCGAACTGCTTGGCGGAAACAGGGCTTAACTGTCCTTTAACTGTGCATCAGTAAAAGTCTGGTCACATGATACAAAAACCAATAAAGCTATGTCTTACAGGAGACGGTGTACTTTCTGGAGGACAGCAGCAGAGAGTTGAAGACAGAGTTGAAGATTCAGAAAAGAAAAACCAAAGAAATCGAGGAGCTGAAAGACAGCCTCACCAAACAACTTCTCCTCTACAGGTAAGAGTTGTTGATCTGTGTCACACTTTAACATATCTCTCGGGAACAGCTCTAATCGGGACGTTTGTCTTACAGGGCTGCCATCAAGGACCATAAGCAGTGTGACGATGAGGAGACAACATGATTGACTTTAACTCTGAGTTCTGTGATTTCATAACAAACTGATCATAATCTGCGACATGATGAACTCATAGATTAATTGAATGCACTTTACACACATTAAGAGACACGCTGGTGTTAAAACAAAGGTTATTTTTAGAAGTCTGTGAAGATGAACTACACTGCAGCTTGTAGAAAGGTTTTTGCTATGAATAAAGACTGTGTTCGTTGTAATCCAAGTGCGACTGATGAGTTAATGTATCTGCATGAAGAGCGCAGAGGGCTTCATGTACTTATAAGGGCAACACGGCCGAGGCACTAAACACTGGGACACAGAGTAATAGAGTGAGAGTAAGTTCGGCTGACGGGAAAGCACCAAGGCGTCACACCAGTGTCGTGAGGCATAACTTGCTCTTTCACTAAAAGGATTATTTAAGGTTGTTTAAAAATACTTCAGAGCTCAGTAAGGTGCTGATCCTATTAATAAAATATGTAAGTAACACATTCATACTGAGAAATGTTCAGCGTGTGGACCCAAAGAACAATGAAACACATTTTATTAAGAATGCACTCACTGTACAATTACAAAATATTGAACATAGAAAAAGCTCAGTCACTACTCTATTTCACAACAACATTTAAATGAGTAATGTGGGGTGAGGGGACGTGGACCACACATGGACATTTCAAACTGAGTTTCTTTAAAATGGTCATTTTGTTTAGAAGCAGCTGGTGTGAAAATCAGTGTCCAGAACGATCAGATAATGACCAGACTGAAGCAGGAAAATATGAGACAGTTTTAAAACCAGAGGAAGTAACTTGCTATGCTCTGCATCTTATCAAAAGACTGGGCTGCATTTTACTCAAAGTTTGTTTCCTCTGCAACATTTTCAACGTGTGCAGACGGAGCTGTTTAATCTCTAAAGACCAGTTCAGACCAAAGATTCGTGATGTGAACTGGCCGGTCTGAGCTGGACTCAAGCCAGCTGATGATGTCACCTGACACTCACTGGTCAAATGGCCGGCGGCTGGTTTTTAAGCACTTCACCTGTTTCAACAGCCAATTAGCTTGTAGTGAAGTCAGCTGGTCAAGTCAAACGCTGCATTGACAGTAGTTGCCCGTTTCAACTCGTCTCGATGCCAATCTTTGGTCTGAACTGGGCTTCAAACAGCAGGTTATCATGAATCATAACTTGTCGTGGGCTGTCAGTATGATCAGCATCTTAAGTTCTAGAAACGCATTTATTCATTAAAGAAAGAGCATCTGCTAAAACACTTCAGTGTACGAGGGAGAGCCAATTTGATTACAAAAATATATCTTTTATACGCAGTGCGCAAAAACATGAGTAAGAGTCTTCAGGCAATAAGTTACTCAGTCGAAGTTCTTCACTGTTACAAAAAAAAAAGGATGTCTTGATTATTCTGTCTTGTATTTACAGTGATTTACAGCGTACAGTGTCCCACCGGTAGAGTCAAGAAGGGAAGTAGCTGCATGGAAGTACAGAGGTGGCAGTTTGGCAGTTTGTGATGAGGTTGTAGGTAAAGACGCACAGCGGGCAGAGGAGTTACGCTGTGGCCTCGGGGTCTGTCGAACCCTCTGGGTCTTCATCGTTGTAGATGTTCTCAGCCTGAAAGGAGAATCGGTGTGTCAGTCATTCAGCCGCATACAGACAGGTTAGGATTAGGGATGCACAGAATATTCGGTAACCGAATATATTCGGCCGAATATTGCAAAAAAACCCACACATTCGGTATTCGGTGGAATAAGTTAAAAGCAAGGCCGAATAATAGCAGCGCCATTTTGATAACGCAATCCAACAGCGTGCCGTGACGGGCGGAATAAAATGTCGGCAGTGTGGCGATCCGTCCGTCACCGCACTCGCATTTGTGACTAAAAATAGTTTTGAGCGAGCAAAAAAGGCTTACGCCAGGGCCACACCACCTGCGGAAGCGCCGCGAATAGCCTCGAAGTGAAGCTAGTTTCCTTTCGGCACCCATGTTAACTGATTGTGTCATCCACACCAGCCGCGCCGCGCAGCTCCGCCGCAGCTCCGCCGCCGCCCCTGCAGCGATCAATTCGGCGTCTGGTCTATTTTCTGCGCGAGCCGCGAGCGAATGTGTCAAGCCGGGCAGTTACCCATCATGGAAAGACAACAGCTGGGAGCAGAATCGCTTGACGACCGGCGTGGAGAAATGCGCTTCTGATGTGAACGGAGGTGCTCCGGCTCGTGTGAGAATTTCGGTGTGCTGCGCTTCGCAGGCAGTGTGGCCCTGGCGTCAAATCATTCAGCACGCTGTGCGAGCAGCCTACAGATTTCAACCACCAGCAGAAACGAGAAGCGAATCCCACCGATTGTGGGTTGAACGGGGGTCACAGACACAGACAGTAATGTATGCCTGTCAAATACGGCGGCCATCGGCTTACCGGCAAGGAGAAGTCGGCTCCAATAATATCCTCTTCTTGGCGTGCGGACTGCCCAGAAGTACCTGGACAGCTGAGCCAGCCGAACACAGGTATGTGACGTGTCAGAGGAGAAACGAGCCGTTCACGGCCAACAAACCTCACCGCACTTTAGGGACTGTTCTTTACTTGTCAGGGGAGGAGGGTGGCTGGTTGATTCTTATTTTATTTATTTATTTATTTATTTTATTTTGATCACCTCTATGTTCATCACTCATTGCTGCTGTTTTTGAAGTATGAATAAGTCAGTAAGTAATTTATTCCATTGAAATATCATTGATGTATTATAGAAAAGTGATTTATCTTTTCATAAATGACAAAAGGCACATCTGCCTCATTTTTGCTGTGGTATCGTGATACTACTCAGAACCATGATACTTTCACTGGTATCGTACAGTGGGTCCCAGTTTTGGTACCGTGACAACACTAATCTGGAGGGTTCATCTGCAAAAACTAATGAAAAACTAAACAACGATATTCTGTATTCGGTACTCGGTATTCGGCCAAGCGTTTAATATTACTCAGCTTTGGCCACAAATTTTCATTTCGGTGCATCCCTAGTTAGGATGTATTTATGAGTGGGTAGCATTTTATGATTCAAAGACAACCAGAGTAAAGACTAATGTCAGGTTCAGACTACACGATGTTAGTCCCATTATAAACTGACATAGTGACAGAAATAGACAAAAATGACTTGTAGTCTGAACCCGGCATAACTGAGAGGAGCCAAATTTTACCAATAAAGGACGACTACATTATTAACTGCTACTTTCTGACATCTATCACAGTGCAGTGTTACAGAAAAGGCTTCAGCAGTACAAACAGTATTAAAGTGAAGTAAGTAAACACCCAGCTGGGTCAGGACACTCACCATTCCTCTCGACTGTCTCCTCACTTTGCCCTGACTGAGTCCCTCCAAATGAAATATCAAAATCCATCTTGACTGAGATTTTCTCTTTGCAGTCGTTAGCTGGGATGTCGGCCTTTCCCTGCTACCTGCTCTGATCCACTTTATAGTTTTGGTAGCATGTGATCCACAGAGCAGAGTCGCCTTCTGTCTCTCACCTCAACATGGTGTTGCAAATTCATCATCCTCTATAACATCCTACAGGGAATACTTCCCTATAAGACAATATAATACCGTATCCTGGTGTCTGCCTGTCCAAAGCGAACACACTTTAATAAAATGTGGTCTCAGTTGTCTTACCATTTGCCAGACTTGCATAATGTTGTCTTCAGACACAGAGCAGATGACCCAGGGCTCGTTGGGGTTCCAGGAGAAGTCGGAGATCTTGGCTGTGTGGCCTCCATGGATAAACTAATGGACAGAAGAGAAGACACCATTTTTATTATAATGAAACGAGCTAGTGTTACCAATAATGGATCATCGTCAGGGCTGAGTGATACAGCCTTAAAATAATACCGCAATGTATTTATCTTATTTTGCGATATTCTGAAATCTCCAAAGTACTGTAGACTACTAAAATGCAAAATTATTAAATTAACTTCAGTTACAATTAATTTAAATAAAGTACTGTTACAATAAGGTTGAAATGTTGTTATAATAAACCCATGTGGAACACCTTTCAAAGAAATTAAGAGTAAGAATTGTTTTTTTATACAGAAATAAGTCATGTTTCACCTCACCCAGCAGGAAGACCATTGTACAATGTCTGTTTTTGATTTTGGTGATGTCATATACATGCATGCCTCAGCTTCCACATTGAAACCTCTTAATGCAGTTTTTCACAGTGCGTTTTATCACTGGGGATCGGTATCTTACCCACCACTGCATTTTATATGAAAAAGTGGGCTGTCCCTCTCTCGAAGTTCGCAGAGAACAGCGCTGTCTTTTATTCATTTATAAAGCCTTGTGTGGAAAGCTTCCCTTATACTTAACCTCACTTTTAAAACTTTGTACCCCTGGTTATAAAACACGTTCACAGACACAGCTTAGACTTCACATCCCACGTACGAAAAGTGAACTAGGAATCAGAATCAGAAATACTTTATTGATCCCCAAGGGGAAATTATTTATGTTACAGGTGCTCCTTGCAAGAGAGAGAGAGAGAGAGAGAGAGAGAGAGAGAGAGAGAGAGAGAGAGAGAGAGGAAAGACCGCCTTCAGTTTTTATGCCCCTGACAGATGGAATAGACTCCAGGAGTCACTTAAATTAGATAATCTGGTTTCCATTGAGTCCTTCAAGGTGCTACCTGATGAGGCTTTACATAGAGATCAGTCTTGCTCCTGTTATTTTTAGTCTTGTCTGTATCTACTATGTTTAGTTTTTTCACTTTTACATTGTAAAGACTGTATTTTTTGTATTCTGTACTCTCATGTTTATGTACCTTGTAATTTTGTAATTGTGTGTGTTATGTATTGCATGCAGGGCGTCCTTGAAAAAGAGAGCTCGCTCTCAATGGACCTCCCTGTTGAAATAAAGGTTAAATGAAAAATAATTTAATACCTCAAAGTGGAACAACTGGTGCTTTTATTTTGAAGCACTCAGCTCATCTCAAGCCTGAAATGTTGATGTTTTTGTTGTGAAGTTGAAGTTTCCAGGCAACAGTTGTTCTTAGCCGTTAGCACAAAGTTAAACTGTTGCCACTGCGTCTTTAAACATGACGATTTATTCACTGTGAGCTGGAAACAAACTAACAGCTCTCCAGTTCATATATTAAAAGTATGGTGCTCCATGGTCACAAAATGCTACTAAGTAGTTGTGGTTTGGGGCCCTGCAAAGACACGTTTCGTCTGCTCACACTGCCGTTAAACATGATGATTTATTCTCTGTAAGCTGGAAACAAACTAGCAGCTGTCCACTTCATATATTACTAATGTTCACAAGTCCTTCTGGTGCTCCATGGTCACGAAATGCAACTAAATATTAATGTTTGCAGTCTAGAGCCCTACAGGTGAGAAACACACCTCTCCTGCTCAGGATAAAGTGTTCTGGATGGTGGAGGAGTGTGTGTGAGGTATCATGTTTGTGAGTGTCTGTGAGAACCAAAGTGTGGAACAAGCCACAATACATCCAGTATATTCGATATATAACGTCCACCCCTCGATCATCTCAACTCCCAAGTTCAACAGGATTCACTGAGACTCACCAGAAGCTCAGGCGGGCCGTCCTCTGCATCCTCTGGTGACTGCTCCTCTCCGATTTTACTGGAAAAGAAAAACAGGGAACAGAAGCGTTAAACTTATGTTACAATATGACCCCACGAGTCTACGTGGGGAAGACGTTACGTTCAGTGTCCAGTGGACATTCAAAACTGGCTAGAACTGCAGGGAATCATCTCTGGCAACTCCAGTGGAGCCGTATTCAGTGGACACTGAGGGGTTAGATGTTAAACTGTTTACCTGAGGTCCCAGACATTGAGGCGGCGGTCTGTTCCACTGGATGCCAGGATGGTCTCGTTATGTGGTGACCACTGAACCTGGAACAGCCAATCAGAGAAGTCAGATTAGGTCAATACTGAAACTTCATCACAAAGATTTTGTCAGGAACATTTATCTCAGTGTGCTAAAAGATGGAGCTGTGAATACTGCAATCTGATTGGTAAGTAGAGGACGGTCAATCCTCACTTCCTGTGGGCTACAGCAACACTAAACCCCTGAGCTTGCCTGAGAAGGACTAAATGCACAAAGCTGCTATTTTTAAATATCCCATGGAGAGAGACTCTCACTGCAGCCTGTTCTATTTTGTTGTGAAAATGTGGGCGTGCAGCCTCGTTCTGTGGACGATAAACCAGGTGCAGACTTCCATCTGTGTCACCGCTGATGAGGAAATACAGCGAGTGCTGGACGGAGCAGTGAGTGACAACAACCCCGCCCACATTTAAGAGGACTGTCTGAACACACCGAGGGTCTAGGTACCATGTCTGAAGGCTTACTGCTGGTTCCACAGGTACTGGACTTAAAGGGTTTGGTGGAGCTGGGGCTTTAGTGATTAATATTTTACCTGGAAAATCTCATCCTTGTGTGACTCGAAGGAATGCAGCTTCAATTTCAGGTTTCTCAAGTCCCAAAGAGCGACAGTCTGTAAGTCAAAGATGAAGAGAGATTAGGTATTCCTGCACATGATATCACAGTTGTGAATGAAACAAATGAAACGTGGAACATGTCGTTACCTTGTCTGCAGAGCCAGAGGCCAGAATGAACTCGCTGTAAGGGTTGAATGACAAACAGTTGACCTCTGCTGTGTGGGCATCCACTGCGTGGCTGGGTTTGGAGGTGTTGTTTGAACGAGTGTCCCAGCTGAGGTGAGACAAATATTCATGAAGGTGTGAGGTCACATAACATTACAGGTGAACTGTTGTTAGACATGAGTTATAATGAAGCTTCTTACATCATGAGCTTCTGGTCATCTGCTACAGATCCAAAGAGCGACTCGTGAAGCAAGTGCCAGGAGACGTCCTCCACCACAGCAGTGTGACCGGTGAAGATCGTCTTTGCCTCGACTATCTTGCCCTCTTTGGGCACAGCACTGATGTCCCACAGACAAATGGTCTGGAGATGATAAAAGATGATAATGGTGACCCAGTAAAATTAAATATGGGAAGATACTTAAATACAGCAATGAAATATTTTCTTACATGGTCATCTGACGCACTGAGGAGAGAGCCGGACAGATTTGGATTCCAGGAGAGACCGTAGCCTTCCTTCTGGTGACCTCTGAGACGCAGATCAGGGTGACACTCTCCAGAAGCATCTGTGGATGATGAAAATAACACACATGGTCCATTTCTTTCACACGAACATCAAAAGCAGATACGCAGTAATGAGAATGTGTTCCACAAAAATCAATTAGCCTACTTCACTTTCAACCATTAGCATCGTCTTGAGTTGTGTGTGACGTGTGTACCTGGCTTGGAGGGGTGTTTGGTGTAGTCAAACACCAGCACCTCTGAGGTGGGGGTCTTGGTGGCGATGATGCAGGGGTTTTGGGGCATGTAGCGAGCACGATTCACCTCTCCTTCATGGTTGATCTTGATTTCTATCTCGATCTTGCCGCTCACTGAGCCAAAGCCTCCGAACTCTGCAAGGAAACATGTTCGTAGTAAACAGACACATCACAGAGGCAACAGAACATTTTCTGTCTAATGGGCAGAATGACAATCCAGTATCATCGACACAAAGTGAAAACACTGATCCACATCATCATCATCTTCAGGTTATGCCCTTATTTTGACATTCTTGTGACTGTCAAACAGCGGCAGGTGGATGATGAGCAGCCAAGAAAAAGACGCCAAGGTTAACTTTATTTACCATTTGACATACCGCCCACCACTGCAAGGACTTACTATAGATATACTATAGATATACAGGATGTGAAAAGTCTGCCTGGCTTAATATTCACACGTCTTTGGCGTGTGACTGAGCTGGTCACCCACCTCCTTTCTCACTGTCATAATGTGAGGCTTCAAACTGGGCGTCATCGTTGGGCAGCTGAACGCTGGCGATGACCAGGTGATTCTGCTCATCAGATGTGTGAGTGCCCAACACCAGCCGGTGCACGCTGTAATCCTTCCCCTCCGGCCTGGTGAGGAAAATAATTATCATTAATGTTGTTCAGAGATGACAGAGTGCACGATGGTGTGTGAGAGAATTACTGCTGGTAAGATGTGTAACGGCGTGCACCTGGAGACGTCAGGCAGCCACTGAGCAGTCAGGCTGGGCCACTCCAGAGCGTGGGTCATCACCAGGTCGTACAGGAAGGGAGTGTTCTTCTTCCAGATCTTGTACTCCTCGTTTATCACCCTCTCTTCAACCGCATCATCAAATGCTCCTGCTGAGAGACAGAACGCAGAGGGAGGTCAATGGAGACCGAAACTTCTGTGACGCTTGCATGATGCATTAATTACAGAGGAGGATTAGGGACACGTTAGAGAAAACATGGCATCACCCAGACGTGTTGATCACCAGGATGACAAAAAATACACTGTCCCCGCTGCTTTCAGGCAGCCTTAGGACGCAACTCATACACGATAACGCACAGTGTGGCATCACCCATAGGTGCTGACTTACTCTGTAACATCACACAACCACCTTCAGGGGATTCTTCTCTGGTGGCGCCCTGGCAGAAGTGGAGTGGTGTGGATCAGTGAAAAATTGAGAACAGTTTTCTGGTAATAACACAGTAGGTGACATTGTAAATGTAATAACATCACCTGAAATCTTGTTGGTAACTTGTTATATTTCTTTGGTAACGCTGAAATGTGTATTACTGTCACCCAACACTGTAAGAACACACTTAGTTGCTTTTTATACCATGTCACAAACTTTGACTTCTTTTCCTCCTTAAATTGCGAGTTTAATCTCGTAATATTTCAACATTATTCTCGTAGATTTATGACTTTCATTCTGGTAATATTACAACTTAATTCTCTTAATACTACGACTTTATAATAGAATATTTACAATATTATTCTCGTGATATTATGAAATTATTCTCGTAAAATTATTGCCTTATTCTCGCAGATTTACGACTTTATTCTAGTAATACTATAACTTTATTCTCTTAATAATGCGACTTTATTACAGAAAATTTACAATATTATTGTTATAATATTACTACTTCATTCTCGTAGATTCATGACTTTATTCTGGTAATATTATGACTTAATTCATGTAGGTTTACCACTTAATTCTCGAAATCTAAGTTTTCTCTAACATGACCCTGATCCTCCTTCCTGTAGCTTTCACTGAGGGTGGCAGATTAATATCTGAGAAACTATTTAGTGTTTCCGTGTTAATGATAACCGATACTGAGGCATTAATCAGCAGCTGTTTCAGGTTGTCTTTGTATTAGAAGTAATTGACTCCAGTGTGTAGCAGTATGAGAGTGTGTTATCAGAAACACACCGCCGTTAGCTCACCAGGCTAACATGATTATTGCTAGTATTATCATAACGTAGATTACTGTAACAATAGGGATGCGCTGCGGGCTCACTGTATCACGTTAGTACGGGATGAAGGAGGAAACGCAAAATGGCGTAAAGACAGTAACAATAAAAACACAGGGATATTACTACAGTTTACACGATGAACACGCACCCGGCTTTTGTTATGAATGATTTGAGGTCAGGCGCTACGGCAGCTAGCTGCTACCCAAGCTAGCCGAACAGCTAACGCTAGCTAAGACATGTCAGATAACACGGAATAAAAACCTAAAATCCCTTTATCGTTACCTTCCTTGTCCGCCATTGCTCGTATCTCAAGCAGCTGGTGGTCCACAGAGACTTTCGGATAATGGAGATGTGGAGCCGAACAGCTTTGTCCCGGGTCTTCCTCTCGTGTGCCAGCAGACCTCAGTGCTGTCAGATGCACTGGGTGAACGATGCTAAGCTAACGGCTAGCTGCGGAGCCGATTGTGAGAGACGTGGGTGCATTCGCGCGCTCTGAGCGAGCGGGAGGGGCCGCCCCCACCCCCCCACCCAGAGCGCAGCGGCGCCTGGTGACCAGCAGAGGGCAGCACGAGCTGCTCCTTCTTCTTCTACTACCTTCTCTTCTTCTTCTCCATATAAATGTGTATTTGTTTATATTAATCATAGAAAATAATGGTTTAATATACAGCCATCAGTGTCCACCATATTTATCTCGGTCAGCTCAAACATATCAAGTTATTTCTGCTCATTAAAGGGACAACATGCCCTTTCTTGTCTGCAATTGGTCAACTGGGATGTCGTCATTTAAGTATGAGGCTTTTTGATTGGACACTTCCATTAAACTGATCTCTGATTGGTTAAAGACGACGCGGCCCCTTTAATGCCAAATAAATCTCTTGTTAAGATAGTTATGGGACTTGTCATGTCTCCTGCGGTCCTGACTGACGACACAGCGGGTCCACACCGTCACTATGTCCACGGCTGACCTGTCCCCGACCCTGGACATCCTCCGGTCTGTGTACCAGCACGTGCAGACTCTGGAGCAGTTCACGGACAGCATCGTGTTCAGAGAGGGACACAGAGCTCAGCTCACTGAGCACACAGACACCAACCGCTTCAAGTCCTTCGTCAGAGGAGTGTTCGTGTGTTTCGACAAGGAGCTCCAGCAGGTGCCGAGCTGCAACCAGGTACTGTTAGCCTTTTATTAAAAACTTTATTCAACAATACAGTGCACAAAAAGGTATTAAACAAACACAACAACACATGAGAGCTGAAACACACTGCAATGACAGATGAACAAATAATAGACAAACTAAATAAAAAAAACAACCAAAAAACAGTTCATTTCACATCAGGGGTTTCATCAAATATTTTTTTGTGATATTCTAAAAATGTCTTAATTTTGTTGCTCATAAGATCAAAATGTTAAGTTAAATTCAGTAAATAAAAGATGGAAAGAGGGCTGTGAACCTAAAAACCCTGATAAAATAAAGAAGGTAACAAGTTAACCTCTCTCCCCTCCACTCCTCTCTTTAAGCCCTGCACTCCTCCTCTGCGCTCTCTACACAGCACAGCTCCAACCTGCATGTCACGTCAATTCATTTTCAGAGATGCAACGCTGGAGACAAACTTAACTTTATTTGATGTTGGGATGTGGAAGTGAGAAAGCATTTCAGCGTTTGTCTCTGCTCACATCTGGCAGCTGGTGAAGCTGAATCTGGAGGGAGACGGTGTGTTTTTACACCAGACTATCTTGGCGTAGACACTACACACGTGGCCTACGCCATTGTGAGCATTTATACTTTTGTGGTGGTGTGTCTGTGTCACTCTGCAGTTACAACTCCAAAACACTAGTTTGCGGTGGAGTTTCTGTGAAGTGCTGTAAAGTTTAGTTGATTCAAAACACACATTAAACACAGAATAAACACACAGTAAACACACAATAAACACACATTAAACACACAGTAAACACAGAATAAACACACAGTAAACACACACATTAAACACACAGTAAACACACAATAAACACACAATAAACACACATTAAACACACAGTAAACACAGAATAAACACACAGTAAACACACAATAAACACACAGTAAACACACAGTAAACACACATGAAACACACATTAAACATGGCTTAATAGAGACAGTTTCAAACACAAATCAGCTTCACTATAACTCGCAGCATTCACAGACAAACACTTGTCTTTATCTGGACACATTTTCCCCACAAATACAACATGCTAACGTTATTAGCACAAGCCTATGGCATTTTACATTGTATAAATTAGCTTAGCAGCTAGTAGAGTTTTCCTCTTCTCATATGAAGCCAGGGACAACAGCAACATTTAACAAAGGTAACGTTACAAAATCAGCTTACAGAGACAGACAGGAGGTCTGCGTCACTGTGACGTGGAGTTACATTTCTGGGGAGGTGCACGTCAGGCTACAGTGTAGGTTATGGTGTAGGCTCTATGTCAACGTGGAGCCTACGGTGTAGCTACGGCGTCGATTCAACGCAGAACTATAAAATGCATTCACTGAATGTAGAGTCTGTATATAGAGACTACACAACAGTGACAACCAATAACAAGGCTCAGGACAAACACTGTGTCACTTTGAACATATCAGGATTTAATAATGAAACCTAAATGACAGACACTTCCTGTAAAAGCTCATTTTCATTCTGATGTATTTTATATTTCCACAGATCTGCACTCTGCCTGAGCTGCTGGCCTTCGTTCTCAACAGTCTGAAGAGAAAAAGAAAAAGAAACATCCTGGCACACGGCTACAGTTTTCTGTCGCTGGCTCAGGAGGAGCGGGACGCAGACCACTTCAAGTTCCAAGGAGATATCACTCAAAGCGCCGCGTACATCCACGGCAGCGATTTGTGGAAGAAAGTCACCATACGCCTCGGCACAGATATCACACGCTACCTGTTGGAGAGCTGCTCTGTGTTTGTGGCGGTCCCTCCTTCATGTGTTTTCCAGGTGTGCGGCGCCCCCGTCTATGACAGGGTGTCCATGACTACAGCCCCCGCTGGGTTTTGTCTCCAGTCTCGTGTGAGGACGCTTAACGGTGCTCAGGCTGGGAGGAATCGAGGTGCAGTGACTGTGAGAAGGAAACACAAGGTTGAGAACGACAAGAGGAACAGAAGGGTGAAGAAAAGACAGAGACAAGCTGATGAGAAGGACGAGGAGGAGGTTATGACTTGTCCAGGAAAGAGGAGGCGGGTCGGACAGCATGAACCCACACAGGAAGTCCAGGTGTGCAGTGAATCAGTGGGGGAGGGGCAGCCCACGTCTGTGGAACCGTCACTGACTCTGAAGACTTTGGAAAATGGCGCCACTGTTTCCAAACAGCCTGCTGAAATGCAAACTACCACCCTTCCCTTGGAGGGAGGACCCAGCTGGAGATCAGGGATGTTCCCTCCTTTGCCTCCCTCACAGTGTTTCATCCGCACACTGGGGTTCCTGTATGGAGGAAGAGGCATGCGTGGCTTCCTCCTCAACAGGAAGAAGAAGACTCCTGATGGATGCAGAAGGCTGCAAGGACCAGATCTGGTGCGAATAGTCTTCTTTGAGGGGCTGGCGTATCTAAACGGGCTGGAGAGGAAACCAAAGAAACTCCCGCGGCGCTTTTTTACCATGGTCCCTGTGTTCAGCCGGCTGCTGCGGCAGCACAGGAGGTGTCCCTACAGCAGGATACTGCAGAGGATGTGTCCGGTGGTGGAGGACAGAAACACACAACAGGAGGACCTGAGCTCCCTCCTGCCTCGACACTGTGCACCTCACCGGGTCTACCTGTTCGTCAGGGAGTGCCTCACCGCCGTGATCCCTCCGGAGCTGTGGGGCTCCGACCACAACCGCCTTCATTTCTTCTCTCGGGTCAGGGGCTTCCTGCGCAGTGGCAAGTTTGAGAGGCTCTCATTGGCTGAACTGATGTGGAAGATGAAGGTGAATGACTGTGATTGGCTGAAGATCAGTAAAACAGGTAAGTGGCCCAAATGGCCCATTTGCGGGGGAGTGGAGGGAGAAAACCAAATACAGAAAGCTACTCTCATCATCTCAGTAACTAAGTATTAGACTTTGATAAGTTTATTTAAGTTAGCTTAAAGGTCCACTTTGTAGGATTTAGTGACATCTAGTGGTGAGGTTGCAGAACTGAAACGTCTACCATGTGCCGAGCGCATAAAGCCCCGTGTCCATCAAACCCTTTCAGTCCAGTACCTTTGGAACCAACAGTAACCCTTCAGACATGGTACCTAGACCCTCGGCCCGTCTTAAATGTTGGTGGTGTTGTTGTCACCCACTGCTCCGTCCAGCACTCTCTCCACAGCTCTCTCTACTCATCGTTCCTGTGGACTTGGGGCGCCTTCTGGTCTGATTGCTGGTTATTTGATTGGCCATTGGCGTGTAGCTGGTTTGCATTTGTCCAAAAGTTGATTTCGTTTCAGTTTTTCAACGCATGCCGGTGCGTTTTTTTTCTGGTCACCTCACCGCCGTGGTCTTGACGCACTACCCACATTCAAATAAACGGGAAGACTGATCTCTGATCTGGTGTGAATTCAGTTTTAATCTAACCTCTCTCGTCCTCAGGCAGGTTCCCGCCCAGTGAGCTCTCATATCGGACGCAGATCCTGGGTCAGTTCCTGGCTTGGCTTCTGGACGGTTACGTCGTAAGCCTGGTTCGAGCCTGTTTCTATGTCACTGAGAGCGTCGGCCAGAAGAACGCCGTCCGGTTCTACAGACAGGAAGTGTGGGCAAAACTGCAGGACTTGGCCTTCAGGTACAAACACACACACACACACACACACACCTGGTTCACACTCCTGCAGCCATGAGACACAAGCTCACAAAGCGTTTCTGTGGTTCAGAGGTCACCTCTCCAAGGGGCAGATGGAGGAGTTGACTCCAGCTCAGGTGGCGTCCCTCCCCAAGACCACCGTCATCTCCCGCCTTCGCTTCATTCCCAAGACTGATGGCATGCGGCCAATCACACGAGTCGTAGGAGCAGATGCCAAAACAAGGGTACGTTTTGATAATGACATTAAAGTTCTTCCTTACAATCCATGAGTTGTGTGTTTTTACATGCTGTGAACACGTGAATTTCTTTTTAGTGGCATTTTCTTTCCCCTGCAGGTCTACAGAGGGCGTGTGCGGGACCTGCTGGACATGCTGCGTGCCTGTGTGCGCTCCACTCCGTCCCTGCTGGGCTCCACAGTGTGGGGCATGACAGATATCCACAGGGTGCTGCGCTCTCGAGCTCCAGCTCAGAAGGACAAGCCACAACCTCTTTACTTCGTCAAGGTTGTTTTTTGTCTGCGGGTCTGTTAACTGAACTGAGTTTTCAGTCTTTTGTTAAACACTGTTGGTGTGTCTTTGTGTGTGTTTAAGGTGGATGTGAGTGGAGCCTATGAGAGTCTGCCTCATGATAAACTCATTGAGGTGATTGGCCAGGCTCTGTCACCTGTCCAGGACGAACTCTTCACCATCCGCCACTACGCCAAGATCTGGGCCGACTCCCACGAGGGCCTGAAGAAGTCCTTTGTTCGACAGGTACTTTCATACACACACATGTTGTATATGCTCGTGTGTGTATGTATATTCTGATGATGTTTGTTAACACAGGCAGATTTCCTGGAGGACAACATGGGGTCCACCAACATGAAAGGGTTTGTGACGTCACTGCAGAAAAGAGGAAAAGTTCATCACGCCATTCTGGTGGAGCAGGTGAGAGTGACGTCCTCAGATTTTTCTTTACAGGAGAGTGTTTGTTCCTTCTTTTATTCTGAAAGTCTCTTTCTTTCAGCACTTCTCCTCAGATCTTCATGGCAGAGAGGCGCTGCAGTTCTTCACCCAGATGCTAACTGGCAGCGTTGTTCAGTTTGGGAAGAAGTAAGACTTACAAACATTAAACAGACCACACACACTCATTTTGCCCTGTTGTAGCTACAGTCAGATTCTGGCTGTGTGTTTCAGAACATACCGTCAGTGCCGAGGGATTCCTCAGGGTTCGGTGGTGTCCAGCCTGCTCTGCTGTCTCTGCTACGGTCACATGGAGAACGTCCTGTTCAAAGACATCACTGAAAAGAAAAGGTAATATCACACCTGCAGCAGCAGGGGGCGCTCTGTCTTCACTGGCGCTCGTCTCTACTCATCACTCTGTTATTTTCCTCCCTGTGTGTCCTGTAGATGTTTGATGAGACTGGTGGACGACTTCCTGCTGATCACTCCAGACTTACAGGAAGCACAGAGCTTTCTCAGGTACGACACACGTCAGGTTTTCACACACGCTGCTGTTCATGTGACACGAGGGCTGTCAGCAGCGTGTTTCCTTTTAGTTTAAACATCTGTTGGACTAAATGAAGTTCATGATCAATACAGCCACAAGCAGTGACTCTGGAGGCCACAGAGAGCCTGAAAGCTGATCAATAAGATCATAAAATCACTCCTCAAACATGCTGGGTCTGTGTCAGGAGGCTGAAACAGAAGTGATGTGGCCACACTGATTACTTCTGCTCCACAGCCCGGCAGCTGTCGGCCATCAACAGGTTAAGACGAGGCTGCAGTAATCAGAGAGTGCAGCGATATGAGGACGTAAAATGGACTCATATTTAAAACAGAGAAAGCCATCACACAGAAGTGGCTACAGACAAGCCGCCCTCCAAATGACGACTGGATTAACAGAATTCACTGTGGGGAGAAAATCACCTTTTCTTTAAGACTGCGACTCAATCAATATATAAAATATTGGAAAATTTTATTTTCTCATTGACCTGAAAACACCAATAAAAGTAGTGTTCTAAAAAGTATTTTTGAAATATTTAATATAATAAATATAATATAAGATTAAACATGATTGTATGAGCTTTATTGTCTGCAGCTCCGAGCTTGTATCAGCAACATGTTGGATCTGTTCTTATAAACAACCTGTCGATGGCAGAATTAATGTGCTGAGACTCGTCATGAAGCGTATTTGTTATTCTCTTTTGCAGTTAATCCAGATCTGATCTGTGAACAGTGTCTGTTGATGGAAAACAAGAACATAACACGTGATGCATAAACATGTTTAGTGCTGAAGCTTCAGAGTGAGTAGCTCCAGTTAATTTCAGCAAATCTATATCTTTACTATATAATGATGAAAACTCTGTGTGTGTGTGTGTGTGTGTGTGTTCCACGTTTTTCTCCTCACTGACTTGGTCAATCCATGTGAAATTTGGCACAGTGGTAGAGGGTCATGGGAGGATGCCAATGAAGCAATATTACATCAATTGGCCAAAGGGGGGCTCTATAGCAACCCATTGAAATGTCAAACTTTGAATGGGCATATCTCATGCCCCGTATGTGGTAGAGACATGAAACTTTGCACAGAGATGCCTCTCCTCATGAGGAACACATTTGCCTCAAGAACCCATAACTTCCGCTTATATAGATTTTCCACCATTTTGAATTTTTTGAAAAACACTTCAAATGGATCTCTTCCTAGGAAGTTTGAGCGATCTGCATGAAACTGGGTGAACATAATCTAGGGACCAATATCTAAAGTTCCCTCTTGGCAAAAGTTGGAAAACTTACTAAAACTGAGCTTCTATAAGGCAATGAATATTGCGGAGGGCGTGGCTCATCACATAAAGGTGTATAACATCTCAAGGGTTTCACCCATCACCACGCAACTTTGTAGGCATATGACCACACATAATCTGAGGGGACCCCTCCATTATTGACCCCATCAAACAAAATGGGGGCGCTAGAGAGCTCATTTCTTATCTAGGCCTAACCGCCATATGGATTTTTACTAAACTTGGTAGATATGTAGAACAGGACGCCTCAAGGTGACTGGAGAAATTTAACTCTAATTGGCAACTGGGTGGCGCTATAACAACAGAAAAATGCTTCAAAATGGCTAAAAAAAAAAAATTTTCCTAATTTTTGGTATGACTAAGTCATGGTATGGTATGCTGTACTCAATGGGTATGGACTAATACGATCTGATTTTATGAGCTTTGTGATCAGCTCTTATACAGGTGGTAGTATCTGTATCAGCAGATCCATACAAATAAATATTTGTCAAAGTTGGAGCAAGTCTTACAGTACATCATAATTACAAAGTTTTCTGTTGTTTTCTTTTTTAAATAAATTAATAAAGCTATCAAATGAAGATAAAACATTCAGAGAGGGTATTAGTGGTGTAATAAATGCAAATAAAATTAAAAATGATATTTAGACCTTTGAGTAAACTGTTACTGGGAAAAAATGTTGGGCAGAAAGAAATAAACAAATTAATTAATTAAAATAAAATGGGAAAAAATATGACTCTGAAATACTCAGAGCAGCCTGTCTGGCACCAACAACCATGCCACGTTAAAAGTCACTTTAATCACCTTTCTTCATCATTTTGATGCTCCGTTTGAACTTCAGCAGCTCGTCTTCATCATGTCTACATGACTAAATGATAATGAGCTGCTGACACCTGATTGGCTGTTGAACAGGTGTACCTAATAAAGTGGCCTGTTAGTGTATCTACAGGTATTAGTTGAGTAGCTCAACATAAACTTTGAGGGGAGTGGTGTATTAATTCAATCATTCATGACCAGTTAAAGTCAGATGCTATTGGTTCATGTTTAATCCAGGATGTCTGACAATTATTAAACTTCTTTTGTTCCAATCATAAAATAAATCAATAAGTTTTTCCATCACAAAAAAGTCATGTATTGCATCACTCCAGTCCTCAACCGAGGGTGCGTCTGTTGACATCTATTGACTCGTGAGAGCTTTCGTACTCGCTGTCAGTAAAATATTAAACATTTATATTTTTAAAAATCCCTCAGCTTCGTCTGGTCTCAGCCTCAGGTTCAACATCACATATTGAATTTTATATCTCACAGCTGATGATTACGTGTGTGTGTGTGTGTGTGTGTGTGTGTGTGTGTGTGTGTGTGTAGGATCCTGCTGGCGGGCGTACCACAGTACGGTCTGGTGGTCAACCCGCAGAAGGTGGCAGTCAACTTTCAGATGTTAGGAAGTGTTGGCTCTTGTCCTGGGATTCGTGTGCTGCCCCCCCACTGCCTCTTCCCCTGGTGTGGGCTGCTGCTGGACACACACTCTCTGGACGTCTACAAAGACTACTCCAGGTGAGGCGTCTCGTCAGCTGCAGTTAGACGGTACAATTATTGTCTAAAGTAACTTCACTGTGTTGGTGATGAGGCTTTAGGCTGTCTGTATGATTTCCTGTCATCTGAGTGAGACCCGCTGCCCTCTGCTGAACTTTGTACTCATAAATGTTAGTCAGGCATGGATGAGCCACATGTGCATTATTTAGTTCCCTGTAGTTTTTCTAGTTAACTCCTTTTAATATTTGCTTTTTCCCCCATTTCTGGCAGCTACGCAGGTCTGTCTCTGCGCTACAGCCTCACACTGGGGTCGTTCCACTCAGCTGGACAGCAGATGAGGAGGAAACTGATGGCTATCCTCAGACTCAAGTGCCACGCCCTGTTCTTGGACCTGAAGGTCAGGAGAGTAACGCTTCCTGCGTTAGGAATGAAATTAAATACAAGTTTGTCTTGTAAACGCCAGTTTAGACCAAAGATTCACGACGAGACGAAACCATTTTAGAATGTTGCAGAGAAAAGAGTCAGCGCTGTGAACTGGCCGGTCTGAGCTGGACTCAAGCCGGCTGATGGTGTCACCTGACACTCAGCTGGTCAAATGGCCGGCGGCTGGTTTTAAAGCACGTCACCTGTTTCAACAGCCAATCAGCTTGTAGTGAAGTCTGCTGGTCAAGTCAAAATGACCGCAGACGTGTTGGCTTGCTGCAGCAGGTGCTCCATCCCCACAGAGCCCTCTGTTTCCATCCTCACGGTGTGCCGGTGTCAGACGGTGGGTCGCTGCTGCTGCTGCTATAGCGGTGACCGGAGCATTATGTCTCGGTTTGTCTGTCCACGTACGTCCATCCGTCTGTCCAACCCATCCTTGTGAAAACTATCTCAAGAATACTTTGAGGGAATTTCTTCAAATTTGGCACAAACGTCCACTTAGACTGAAGAATAAACTGATTAGAGTGGTGTGGTCAAAGGTCAAAGGTCAGTGTGACCTCACAAAACATGTTTTTGTCCATAACTGAAGAATTCATTCACTAATTCTGACCAAACTTGACACAAATGTCTAACAGGATAAAATAATGAAGGTCAAAAGGTCAAAGGTCAGCTTGACTGTGACATCATCATGTTTTAACGTCATATCTCAGGAACAGAAGGGGAGACATTTGGTCAGATACTGAATTGGTGACTCTAATCTTGAAACTGTGCTGATTGTATAGATCTTCTGTGTGTGAAGCATCCATGTTTTCACTGACATGGATGGAGACTGTCAGAGACACTGGACTGGTGGGCGGAGTCATACAACCACAGTGGACTGGTGGGCGGAGTCATACAACCACAGGGTGGACTGGTGGGCGGAGTCATACAACCACAGGGCGCTGATACCAGTTTTAACTTTTTCAGACTAATTCTCTTGAGGCGGTCTACAAGAACATCTACAAGCTGGTGCTGCTTCATGCACGCAGGTAAAGACAGTGATGTTGCTTTTACCTCTTTTTCCCCAAGACTGAAGTGCAGTCTTAATCATGTACTTAGATCTGTTACTGTTGTCACATGATATGCTTAGATTCCATTGTCCTGTATTCAGATTGAATAAATTAATTGTCCTATGGCTAAGCCCCGCCCTCAAACGCAATGAGCCAATCACAGTGCGTATAGCCATTCCCATACACTGGGACATTCTCTGTCTGGACGTCCATTGAAATGCATTACAGAAAGTCAGTTTGTTTGGTTTTATGAGCTTTTTCTGTGATTTGAAGTTTAAAAATGGTCAAACGGTGTGCATGGGGTACATGCAACTCTGACACAAGGTATCCTGAGAGGCTGGGCGACCATGTGTATTTTTACACTTTAAACCACATCTCAACCGAGAAAAGTGTCTCCTTTGGATAAAGTTGTGTGGTAACGTTAGACCACAACATCAACTCAACGTGAATAAGATTAACAATGATGTCTACATCTGTTCTAAGGTAAGTCAACATTGTGTTTGAGGCAACATATTGTCACTTTGCTGGAAAGAAATATAAAGTTATCTTTAACATCTCTAGCTAACGTTAGCTAAAGTTAGCCTAACGTTAGCTCCTAGCTGCGTTGTTCATCATGTCACCTTGTTTGCTGGGAGTTCATTAGCCTATTTTGTTCTAGTTTTGTACTTTGGTGATCGTACATCATTGTTAGCTGTTGTCCAAAGGGCTCTAGTTAAGCTAACGTTAACTTCTGGAGCTTAGCTTCATTAACTTATCTGTAATGGCAGAGATAACAAAGGTTGGCAAACGTTATGCTGAATGATTCAGTGTAAATACTGTAGCACCAAACTAACGGAGAGACACTCTTGGTAAAGATGGTAAAAAGGCCGTTATCCTTTTCTCATATTCTGAGCCAAAAACCTTAACTTCAGTGGCACTTTAACTTGTTGTCTTTGATGGTGACGGCAACCAGATGCGGTTCACAAGCGTACACTGTGACCTGTAAATTTTGGCTTGTAATTTAAGCTTTTCATCGACCTTCTCAACAATAAAATGATGAATATATCCCTCCAATGCGTAGTTTAGGCCCTTTTGGTTACTTCTCAATGACATCTGATCGTTATGTCCCCAAAAATCATCAGTTGCCTCCTGTGAAATGCCGTGTACTGTGACACCTGCCATAGCGCCGCTCACTGAACGTTGATAGTTTGTCTGAGTGAGTGGAGGGGGCGTGGCTTAGCCATAGGTCAATTGGTCTGCACATGATTTGTTTCCATCACCCACCTGAAGCACAAACAGTTTAGAAATCTTTACACAGTCCTGACCGCCCCCCCCCCCCGCCCCCTCCCCTCGTATGTGCTCAGTGGCTGTAGCTTAATAAATGGGTCTGTAAATGTTAAACATCCATTAAGATGAGCTCAGTGAGGGTTATTAATCAATGACTGCACCGAGCTGAGGACTAATTGTCGCGTCTGTTATCTCAGTGTAAACATCTGACGGGGCAGGGCGTCTTTTGTGTTCTCTTTTGTTTCATGTTTTTAGGTTCCACGTGTGTGTCCAGAGTTTGCCCTTTGGTCAGACGGTTGCTAAGAACCCCATGTTCTTCCTGCAGATGATTCTGGATATGGCCGAATACGCCAATCAGCTCATCAGGCTCAGCAACAAAGGCAACAGTTCCCCTTCATACATCTGGGAAATAACAATTTGAGCAATATCGAGTTCAAACTTGATTCTCATCTTTTAATGTTTTCCCTCTGTGCAGGACAGATTTTAGGCAGTAAGGCTCAGAGCGGCGTCGTGCAGTACGAAGCAGTGGAGCTGCTCTTCTGTCTGTCCTTCCTGCTGGTGATGTCACAACATCGTCCCCTCTACAAGGATCTGCTCCCACACCTGCACAAACGTAGGTATCTTCAGGAAACACATGCACACTAACTACCCTGTGGCAGCACACTATGACAAGCACTGTTGTTATCACATATTCTTCCAATTAATATATTAATAACGTTTATATTGACCCTTTAAGGGATGATGTCACGATGACATCATTTCAATAGCTGGAGGTAAAACACGACTCCACCACAGGGCTGCGCTGTGGATCATGAACAATGCACATGATCCTACAAACATGACAACAACTCACCAAATAAAAGTTAAAGTCCCCATGAAGTAAGAAATATATTTTGCCAGTTTTAATCCTGTGTCCATGTTACTGATCATTTCTATCTTGCTAGCTGCCAAATATATGTCAAAACAAGTATGAGTAAAGTATTTCTACATAAAGATCCACATCTTCTGTCTTCCTGTAAAACAGTTTAAAACTCATCCTGCATTCAGTGGTGTTCACAAAAGTTCATCCAATCAAACAAGACTTTCGGCAAATTGTTCGCCACATCAATCATATAATACACACTTCACCATCTGTGGGTTGTGGTAGTGATCAGAGCAATATGGAGAGAGACAGGAAGATATGTGTTGGATATCAGTGGGCAAAACCTTTGTTTTCATTAACAAAATAATGTGACCAGTGAGGGTTAATTCATTCATCTCCTCCTGTTGGAGGTGTGTGAGGAGACAACAGTGTGCTGTAGCTCTGTACGCACTAAACTCTAAGCCCGCCCACTTTTTAGCAGTCCAATCAAAGGCAAAATGATACATTGCTTAAATATTCTGTTTTCATGGGGGGCATGTCACAACACAGATGCTAAACACGCTCTGACTTTAACAAGTGATATTTACTCTCTGGGTATTTCATGTCCCGACTCAACTGCATTCAAACACACACTCGCATGGTAACTGAAGTCTTGGTCCACACATTTGTCACATCTCAAATTGACTATTGTAACACAGTTCTCTCTGGCCTTCTCACCAAACTCATCAACAGGATTCAAATCATTTAAAACTCTGCTGCCTGAATCATTACCGCACCAAATCATCCGACCACATCACCCCCATTCTCATCCAACTGCACTGGGTCCCTGTTCAGTATGGGATTGATTACAAAAACCTTCTGCTCACTTTCAAAGCCCTCCACAGCCCAGCCCCCACCTCTCTGACCTCCTCCAGGAGTACACCCCTCCCGCTCCCTGGTTTCTTCCACTGCTGGTCTCCTGACCATCCCCACCTCATGCCTCAGCACCATGGGTGCTTTCAGCTGCACTGCCCCAAGCTCTGAACTCTGCCTCCACACATTCGACATTCCGACAGCATAACATCCCCAAATCCCATCTCAAAACCCACCTGTTCAAACTGGCTCATGCACTTTGACACTGACTGCAGCCTCTGCAAAATGAGTGCTGTAATTACTGCAAGTGTGTTTGTTTAGTACCAGGAAATGATTCACCTGCAGGAAAGTAGAGCCTCGGTTCTCTGGTGAAAAGACTCCATAAATTAACAGTATGAAAACAATCATCATCATAACTTTTCAAGAAGACCAACCCCTTTAAATGTGGACTTTGTGTGCGGTGCACCCAATGAATCCAGACATCTCACACAACTCAGTTTATTACCACCTTTAATTTGATTTTACGATTTGAAATACTTCAGGTGGACGAATTTTATTGTTCACTATCAAAATGGTTAAAAAAAAACAACCCTCTGCTGTCGTCCTGTTGACAGGAAAGCGCAGTCTGGAGAGGCGTCTGGGGGATCTGAGACTGGCCAGAGTCCGACAGGCCGCTAAACCCAGGACCCCGGAGGACTTCTTGGCCATCCAGATGTAGACTTTGAGCTCGTACAGATTACAGCCCCCACCTCAACCATGAAACCTCAGCAGCTGTAAGGTAGACAAGAGCACTTACTCCTGCTTCTTTCAAATGTTCATGTACAAAAACTCAGTACTAAACTTTACCTGCAGTGATTCAGATTTATCTGATCGTCAGTGTGCCAAAAATGGCATCCATTATATAGCATTGGGAAAGAAGAAAACAGTCTTTAGTCATCTGATATAAAACACTTAAGTGATAAAGCTTAATCATAAACACACCCTATAAATCAACAACCACCAGATTAGTAAAGATGGATAACTGAAACATCCAGCTACTGTTGCAGACCCCGCCCCCTCGTACAGCTGTTTGTCTCTCTGGACTTTGATTTATACTTTGTGGTAGTTTTCCACAAAGAAGACTTGACGTCACCTGGAGGATCGTTCAGATTTCTGCAGTGATGGTTTGTGACATGGCTGTGTGTTTCAGTGTGATGTGTTTGATCATCTCCAAAGAGTAGAATTTCTCTGTGAAATTAATCCAGTTTTCAGGTTCTGTTAAACGCTGATAAATGTAAACAACATAAATCAGTAGTAAAGTCAGTGTGACTGATTATATGTCAGCTGTCGGCTGAATAAAGATTCCACAGACGAGGCGATAACGATCAGGAGGTCCTTTTCTGTGCAGTAACGTTGTTTCTTGCAAACATTTTTAAGCTCTCTGGTTCTCATGCGGTGTTTCAGCCTCAAAGCTGTTGTTGTAGTAGGGAGTTAGGTCGGCTCGAGCAGACGACTTCTTGAGTCCACAGCAGATGAGTCTGTAGAGAGCCACCAGAGGGATGGAAATCACAGGTACTACAGAGAGGAGGATGATGATGGCAAACACCCAGTCTGGGTTGGACTTGGTTTCAGTTTTTGGGAACAGTTCCTGCAGACAAAGACAACACAGTGTAAAATATAATGTACAGAATATTGTAAAAGGATTTCATTTAAAAAATAAAGTTGAACAATACTTTGACATTTTGTGAAATCAGCAGATTTTCTTTATTTTCTCAGCACCGTCGTCTTTTTTCAGGTTTCTGTGAGGAGCAGGTATATGTGGCCGCCTGGAGAAAATGCTTCACGCTCAGTGTCTCTTTTCAGGGTGCTCTGCCTCTTTTGTTACGGAGGTGAAAGAAGGCTGTTTTGGTGATGTGGCTGACATGACACAGGAGGGAGAGGGTGGGGTCAAAGACAAGTTCGAGGTTGCAGACTTGCAGATGATAGAGCCATCAGTGTTGAGTGTGAAATCCTGAGTGGGGTGGGTAATGCGGGATTTATACTTCTGTGTCAATTGGCGCCGTACCCTACTCTGTAACCTGACGTGCACCTCCCCAGAAATGCAACTCCACAGTGTCACAGTGACGCAGACCTCCTGTCTGTCTCTGTGAGCTGAAACCATTTCCCTCAGTGGAAACAAAGCTTTGATTTACTTTAATTTCACAGATAAGAAACAATAAATTGTGAAGACAACAAAGCCTCCACTAAAATAGCATTTTAAGTCTTGTGTGTGATTTATCCTGGCTTCATATGAGCAGAGGAAATCTCTGCTAGCTGCTAAGCTAATTTATACAATGTAAAATACCATAGGCTTGTGCTAATAACGTTAGCATGTTGTATTTGTGGGGAAAATGTGTCCACATAAAGACAAGTGTTTGTCTGTGAATGCTGCGATTTATACTGAAGTTGATTTGTGTTTGAAACTGTCTCTATTAAGCCATGTTTAATGTGTGTTTACTGTGTGTTTTGAATCAACTAAACTTTACAGCACTTCACAGAAAACCCACCAACAACCAGTGTTTTGGAGGTGTAACTGCAGAGTGACACAGACACACCACCACACAAGTATAAATGCTCACAATGGTGTAGGCGACGTGCCGCATGAGTTTCAATCCCTCGAAAGGGAGTCTGGGCTAATGATAAAGATTTCTGACCCACTGCAGTTGAGTTTCAGAACATTTTTTGCATCCATGTTTTAATATCTGTCAGGCAGTTGGTGACAGTGAAGTGAGCTGTGCAGTCATGGTCTTGGAGGAGAGGTAGAGTTGTGTATCTTCTGCGTAACAGTCAAACTGGAGGTCATGGAGACGGAGGATCTGTACAAGTCGGAGCATGCAGAGGATGAAGAGAAGGGGACCAAGCACAGAACCTTGGAGGACACTGTGGGTGACAGGAACTATAGATGAACTGCAGTTGTTGACAGAGATGAATTGATGTCTTGATGTCTGAGAGGTGGGACTGGAACCAGGTGAGGGCAGTGCCAGTGATACCAATGGTGGATTTGAGGCATGTGATGAGTGTGGGATGATTCACGGTGTCAAAAGCAGTGCTGAGGTCGAGAAGGATGAGGATGGTGATGAAACGAGAGTCGGACGATGACAGAAGGTTGTTAGTGACTTTAATCAGTGCTGTGTTTAAAGCAGAAACCAGACTCTTCACCAGCCAGTCTCTAACTTTTGTATGTTGTTTGGTGCCATGCAGGTAGTGTACAGGTGGTTATAAAACAAATGTTCCTCTGAGGCTGAAAACTCTAACAAGGTCGATGAGAGTGAAGTCAAAAAGTGAATTTGTGGGCATTAAAACCAAAACTGAGGTGAGCTAAAAGATGCTCAAACACTGTAGAGCGTAGGGTAATGGTGGTGATAATTCTGTTCTACAGTATGTATATGTCTCCGTGTCAGTGCCTTCGACCTTCGCTTACATAGTCTGGGTTCCATGCGGGATAGGTGGGGTGTTTCTGTGCCTGGACGACCACGTAGGAAATCAACACCACCAGGAGCATCAAAGGACTGATGACCATCCAGCACGCCTTCCAGAAGATGTTGGGCCTCTTCCCAGTCATGAAGTAGATATCTTCGCTGAAACTGTCAAAGGATAAAGAGACCAGAGAGAAATGTTTCATGTATATGAATCTCATGAGACTGCAGAGTATCACAGAAGAGGAGAAATCAGTACTTTTTCATTCCATGGACATAAATGACTCCAATGATCTCAAACAATGCAACGATGAGCAGAGGTACTGAGCCCACGTAGCTGTTGAAGATCTCCATCCAGTAGTTCCCCGACCCCAGGGTGAAGATGAGGCCTATGGAGAAGGAGATCAGGCAGATGACCGCTGTGGGAGGAAAAAAAAAAGGTTGTCAGAGAGGGGATTAGAAAAATATTTGAAATGAAGGAATGTATGATATGATATTATGGCATTATCTGCAGAGATGGACACTGGGCTTTATTATTTCCTGTGTGTCAGGAATCATAGAAGAGGAGAACACTGTTCTAAACAATGAACTAAATATTTGACAAAAGTGATTTATGATCAAAAAGGAATGAACTTTGGTAGAACAATGTTGGAATGAAGGAATGTAAGATATGATGGTCTGATATTTTCAGAGGCCTCAAAGTCCGTCACACCTGGATTTATGTGAGGAGGCTGAAGGTGTCTGGAGGTTAAGATTGTAGGAGATAAATAGTCTGGACAGAGAGTTACACAACGTTCTTTTAACTCCTTAAAGGTTGCGTGATTATACTAGGGCTGTCCTGAATACCATTTTTTAACATTCGGACCTTTGGCAGAATTTATAACGACTCCGGGACACTGTGCTGCAATAAAATGGTTAATCAGCAGTGCCGTGCACTGTAGAGCCAATGCGCTGCTGGTTCTGCCGGCCTGAATAGAATATAATGTCTATAGCCTTACTGTTGTGTACAGCCTTATAGACTGAGCTGAGTAGTGATGCGCGGGTCGACCCGTAACCCGCGGGACCTGCAAATGGACCTGCGGGTCGGGCAGCAGTGATCGTCTGTTAAATCAGTCTGTAAATGATATTTTGACATTATTGGCTATTACTGTCATGGCATCCGAAGGTACTTATGCGTTGAGCAGGTGACAGTCCGTGGTCGTTTTCAAAACACACTTGTGTCACGCACTCCAAAAGAAACTTGTTGAAACTTTAAACAATAATTTATTGTACAAAACAGGGGAAACAAACATTGACAAAAACGGTTCCATAATTCATATTAAATTCAAAAGATAACGAAAAAACAGCTACAAATTAGAGGGAAGAGTGATAAAGTGGTAAAACTTGGCATTGATCCACAGCCTCAGACGGATGCGCTCATGCCTGCCGTGCACACAAGCTCAGTTGGTAGGCGATACTATATTTTCACATTTTTAACAATGCAATTTAAAAGTTTTGATTTTTATTGATAACCTACATTTACCAACAACAAAAAGACTACATTTAGCACCAAAAAAAATGTTAAAAAACAAACAAACAAACGAATATCGAAAACCAAATTTTCATAACGAATACCTACCCATAGAAATGAATATTCGAATATCCGAATAATATTTGGGTACAGCCCTAGATTATACATAGTATATAACATACATATATGACTCTGTATGATGTCTCTGCTCTGACGTCAGATTTGTGTTGTATTAAACCTATAATCAAGCAAGGTCAACTCAAGTTTGTTCTATTATTCATCAAAGATTTCAGAAAAGCTTCAGCTGATTTGCAGGTACCTGTTACAAGCTCATCAGGGATCCACTCAGGCACCAGTTTGAGGTCCCTAATGGGATTGAGGACTCCCTCTAGGTTGCCAAACATGGAGGAGAGGCCCAGGCTGAGGAGCATGACGAAGAACAGTATGGCCCATACCTGCGAGCCTGGCATCTCGATCACTGCTTCGCTAAACACAATGAAAGCCAGGCCGGTTCCTGAGGCGCTCTGTGGGAGGAAGATGAGAGAGAGGCCAGAGAGTAATCAGGAACTGACTGTACATGTTTGACCTGCACATGATGTTCTGTACTACAGGGAAAGAGAGGCAGGGTGAGAGCGGAAAACATTCAGGATATAAGTGAGCGATTGAGTGTTTTCAAAGATACGATACCTGGTCGAGGAATGTCTGCAGGTCACAGGGCCTCAGGTCCACTTTGGCCAGCTCACCTGGAGATGTTTGATTTAGATACTCAATCCAGTGATCGTAGTTCTCCACTGTGATGTTGTGGTCTGAGAACTCAAAGTGGTTGGTCACAGCCAAGATGTTTCTGCAGACGGGATAAAAAATCAGCCTCATTGGTTTCATAAAGGAAAATAAAAGCTTTAGAATTTTATGGAATAATGTGTGCATACGTACTCCTCCATACAGGAGTTGTAGGCGTTGTTTGCTTTAAATCCCAGGATGGAGAAGATGGAAATGGAGCCGTAAAGAGACGTGGCACTGTTTATTATTCCTACGATAAGAGCGTCCCTCTCACAGTTATTTCTGATGAAGACAGAAGCAGAAACACAGCTCTGTAAGTAATCAACCACATCATACCTATTTTACTAAGGGAGTATAAGGAGTATTTCACAGTTGGACATGCTGTCTCTGCCTGTCCTGCACCGAGTCAGGCATTCACGGGTACGACTGAAGGGGCAGGATTTGTCAGAAAAGAACATTGTCTAGTGTCCTGCACTGGGTCGGGTACCTGCTGGTAACCTGCAAAAAGCTGCTGCATAACAGGTATAAATATGTATATACATAAATTCACGAGTAAAAATTAACTACACACAGGCGTGCAGTGGGTGAGAACAAAAAATCTATTTTTTTATTTTTCAGAATAAAACATTAATCACCATTGTGATCACATTACATTACCCAGTACCCAGAAGGCTCTTTTATTGGTCTGATATTTCACAGTGCATTTTGGTAGTTGAGCAGTTTGTAGTGCAGTGTCAATATGTGGAGCCCCCATTGCAAAGCATTAAATAAGATAGGCTGGCCTCAAAAAAAGAAAAGAAAAACGGCTGGATTCAGTTCAGTTCAATTCAAAACATTTTATTTGTCCCCGAGGGGCAATTAAAAGGCACATAGAGTAGCACAACAACACATACAGACAATTGACAAGACAACATAGACAATTAAAAGGATGCTACATGATATGCATTAAAGTGCTGGAAGTGCTTAAGTCCATGAAAAATCGCGATTGCGTCTTCAGAAAACACTATCAGGCCTTAATCCTGACAGCAATACAACCAGCTGCAGGTGAGCCTCTGCCGTGCGAATGACGGACCCCACAGCGCCATCGTCTGCCCCGTCTAAAGAACTATGAGCTGAGGAACGGGAGCCAGGCCCGGAGGCATCGGAGGACTCCTCTACATTAAAGAGAGCGCCTGAAGCTGCTGCTGAGACAACATCTTCCTCGAAAATCAGTTCAGCTATAGGTGGATTGGGTGCACCAGCATCCTCTGAGCCGACACCAGAATGGACGGACAGGAGGGGAGAGCGTCACTGTCTGGGCAGTGACTTGTGGCGTCAGAAACCAATTAAACAAAAGCGGTCCTTCAGTGTCGGCATGATACGCAGCCGGTTGCCGTTGTAGTTTAACAGTGCCCAGTGGCATCAGGAGGAAACACGGCAGGACAAGAAAAGTCCAACTGGGGCAGGCGGGAGGGGTGGTGGATGTGGTCCACATACAACGTCCCATCCTGAGATGGCCTTTGGCAGTGTACAGTTTGACCAAACGTCAATATGTGATGAGGTCGTAGTGAGAATGTGTTGAGCTGGAAGACTGCTTGTCAGATAACCATCAATGTTTGGGATGAGTAGGTTAGGCTAGTTTCACCTGCTCCATCACAGGGAGGCCATCAGTACCCATCACAACTTCCACCTCTACCAGCCTGCACGGTGTGAGGCATGAAACCTCTGAGAGGCTCAAGCAAGGGCACTCTGATAACTGTTCTTATAAATTAATGTTTATAGGATAAATTGGTTCTTATTATGCTGGTGACGACTGAGGATGGACGACAGGGTGAAGAGTCGAATGGTGAACACACCTCTCCTCCCTTGGAGAGGAGCAGCTTGTTGCAGCCTTTCGAGGGCGAGTAATTTGGATGGTGCGATCACAAGGCTACAATTGACGAGCTCCGAATAATCGTAGATAGTTTAATGCCACCACAGTGGGTAACCTGCATAAGCAAGAAGATGAAACCGGAAATTATACCTTAGCCGGGGTCATCCGAGGTCACACATGACTTTGCTATAGATACTCGAGCTGCTCGTGTTCAAGACTAAAAGACATTCAGTGTTAAAACGCTGCCTCTGGTGGTCAGTAAGGGGAAATAAAACTTACTTCTCAGCGTTGTAGCTGGAGAAAGCTATGAGACCTCCAAACGCCAGAGACAGAGAGAAGAAGATCTGAGTGGCAGCGTCCAGCCACACCTGAGGGTTCTTCAGAATCTCCCACTGCAGCCAGCAGAAACACATCAGGTCATTGTGTCAGGAAATAACATCTCATATCAGCTGTAGCAGCAACAAACTCACATCAGGAGTGAAGAGGTACACCAGTCCGTCAGTAGCTCCGGGCAGAGTGAGGCCACGGATCAGGAAGATAGTCAGCACCAGGTAGGGAAATGTGGACGTCACATACACAGCCTGAAATATGCAAACACACCATACAGCCATCATTAACTCTGTCTGTCTGTCTGTCTGCAGCTCTGTCTGTCTGCAGCTCACTGTCACTGTCAGCAGTGATGTCTCCAGGTAAACGGACCTTTCCCATGGACTCGATGCCTTTGATGAAGCAGATGTAGACCACTAACCAGGCGCTGGCCAGACAGATGACCAGCCACCACTGCAGGGAGCCGCTGATCTCGATGTCTGGTGTGATGTTCAGGGTCTCACGGTACCAGAAGTAGTTCACTGGAGTGCTCTTCACACACTCGTCATTATAACCTGTATGGATGCAGACACAAGAGACAAACATGAGATCTATAAAACTCTACAGCGACCGAGACTTAAAGTTATTGGTGTTTATTTTGGGTGCGTCAACCTTTGTAACTGAGTTCAAGTTGCCTCCACTGGCTCCCTGTTGAGTTCAGGATCCAATTCAAAATTCTCATTCTCGAAGTCAGACTTTCTCTTATGTGGCTGAACTACTTTACTCATATTCTTCAGTTCACTCTTTTTGATCAAATAAATTTGTTGTCTGTCCCTCCACTCACCTTCAGACCTGTGGCGATCGAGCTTTTGCAGCCGTCACGCCTAAATGTTGGAAAGCTCTGCTTGCTTCCTGACGGTCTGCTGACTGTGTGGTTTCTTATGAAAGCCAGATAAAGACACACCTGTTTGAACTGATGTTTGGGTTAATTTGTATCAGAATCAGAATGCCTTTTATTGTCATCGTCCATCCAAACATGAGATCTATAAAACTCTACAACGACCAAAACTTACTGGTGTTAATTTTGGGTTATAATGCAGAGTGACGTTTCAAGCCTATGAGTCTTCCTCAGAATTTTGACACATGACAGAAAGTCGCCATCTTAAATATCCATAGTGCCTGAGTCAGTCATGTGACATGCCACACCTGTTACCCATATTCATAATGAAAATACAAACTATCAGCAGAGCACTGGGGGCTGTGACGCCTTAACCAAAATATGTTGCATCTAAAAATGAAATAGATTTAATATCTTTGTATGATGACTGAAAACAAACTATTTGTGCCCTTTACCTGTCGTTCACTCTTCTATCTGTCACCGTGCAAAGCATGTTGTTTTTATCTCATGTCACACAGCAGGATCCCTTTGAGCCATAAAACAATAAAAATCTACTTTCACCTGAAATGTCACGCAGAGCCTGATAGTTAAAATTTATTTTACATTTTGCAACCTTACTGTAATTAAACGAATTTCTCAACCACGTTTGACACATAAGAATTTTACACACAGTGTTAAACAGAACAGAATATGTTCAAAACAGGATTAAAATGAAATATTTTAATAAAATCTTCAACACAAACCACGGCACACTGAACTGAATCACTGTGGTTTTATTAAGAATTTCGAACTTGTCAGAGCAGATGGAGGAAACCCACGCTGACACAGAAAGAACAAGTCGGAGCACCTGGAGGAAACCCACGCTGACACAGAAAGAACAAGTCGGAGCACCTGGAGGAAACCCACGCTGACACAGAAAGAACATGTCGGAGCACCTGGAGGAAACCCACGCTGACACAGAAAGAACATGTCGGAGCACCTGGAGGAAACCCACGCTGACACAGAAAGAACATGTCGGAGCACCTGGAGGAAACCCACGCTGACACAGAAAGAACATGTCGGAGCACCTGGAGGAAACCCACGCTGACACAGAAAGAACATGTCGGAGCACCTGGAGGAAACCCACGCTGACACAGAAAGAACATGTCGGAGCACCTGGAGGAAACCCACGCTGACAC